CATAGATTAGAAGAGATCTACAACATACATAACACCAGGAGTAATATATACATAGAATATATAAAGAACTATAAATCAACTTGAAAAAACCATTAATTTAGTAAGAAAACAGGCCAACTAGTTTTGAATAAGTAGAAAGCGAAAAATCAAAAAACCTTCAAAGTGACATTCACCCTTTCTTTAGAAATCATGTAATTATAAACCTAAATAAGACACCATTTCTCATCCTTAAAATGGGCAAAACTTAAAAATTCTGACAATATTATATATTGGCAAAAGAGAAATCTCTAACCCTGCTGGTGGGAACATAAAACTGATGCAACTACATTAGAGACTAATTTGTATCCAAATAGTCCAGTATCAATAAAGAAAAACTAACTAAGCCTACAACCTAGTAATTCTAGTAACAAGTAAATATACCTTAGAGAAAGTCTTTCAAATGTACACAAGGATAAATACCTAAGAATGTTCACTGCAGCACTTTTTATAACAGCAAAATATTATAAAAGCACAAATATGCATTATTGTGTACTGATTTAATGAGAAATTAAATCAATGGAAAATTATATAGGAGTTAAGAGAAACAAACCAAAATCTATATATTAGCATGGATAGCTCCAAAAAATAAGAGTTCTAAAAAAGGTTCGTAAAATATAATAGTATACCATTTATGTCCATTAAAAAAAATCACACAAAACTGTATTATTGCTCACAGACATCAATGTAAGACAAAATTATTAGGATTCATACCAAATTAATGACAGCAGTCATCAGTAAGGTAGAAGGCACGGGACTGTGTATGCAAGGTTTCTCAACTTTGGCACTTGGACAGTATTGACTCAGCTGTGGGTACTGTTCTGTGCATTATGGAATGTTTAATAACATCTCTGGCCTCTACCCACCAGATATCAGGAATGATCTCTCCATGTAGTGACAACCAAAAATGTCTCTAGACTTTGCCAAACATCATCTGGTGGGAATAATCAAGAACGGCTGGGCATAGGGAACAAAGAGGCTTTCAGCTTTATCTGTAAGGTTCTATATTCATTTTATTTCAAAAATAAAGGCTGACACAAATACGAAAAGTGTTATCAAATGTTCATTCTGGGTGGTGAGCATATAGTGTTTGGTATATTACTTGTTTGTTTTCCCCCACCCCCCAAAAAAAGAGTTAATATTCATTGTAAAAAAGAAAAATACAAGTAGAAAGTTTAAAACAATGATTCTATCACTTAAAGAAAAAACACCATTGACATTTTCCTTATGGCCTTCCTTTTCTATGTATGTATATGGATCTCTGGGTGGAATTCATAGGGGCCCATGTATTTGGTAGGAATCCTTAGGTGGCACAAACAGTTCAGTGCTCAACTACTAGCTGAAAAGCTGGTGGTTCAAACTCACCCAGGGGTACCTTGGAAGGCAGGCCTGGTGATTTGCTTCTGAAAGGTCACAACCTTGAAAAAATTATGGAGTGGTTCTACTCTGCACACATGGGGCTACTGTGAGTCAGAACTGACATGACGATAAATAGCAATAACAAATACATGTAAGTAAATGTATGACTGTGTATGTATGCATGTGGGGTGTGTGTGTGTGTGTGTGTGTGTCTTTGATTCATTCTTTTTTCTACTTAATATTCTGTGATCTTTATTTCCCAAACTACATTTTAGAAAACAATTTAATTAGCTGCATGGTATTCCACCAAATGAGATAACTTTAATGTATTTTATTTTTCTCCTACTGCTAGACAGTCAGGTCAGTTCAATATTATTAATGACAGTATGCAGAATCTAAGTTTTTTCTCTGTATTTCTGATTATTAAGTTAGATTTCTAGAAGTAATATTAATAGTCAAAAGTATATGAACATCACCACAGTTGTTGATGCACACTGTCAAACTATTTCATAGAGGTGGCTGTTTCACTACGTTACCATTACTGAGTATTTTCTTTTCAAAATCTTTGACAATTTTATAGGCAATATCTCAATGACTTAATAGGTATTTATTTGATTAATAGTATGGTGACCAACCACCCAGTTTGTCTGGGACTTGGGGGAAGGAGTCCCCAGGAGGCAAGATTTTTAGTACTAAAACTGGGAAAGTCCTGGGCAAACCACAAGTTGGTCATACAAAATACCAGTAAGACTAAACATCTTTTTATGTAGAAGTCATTTGTGTCCTTCCTTTTACTTGTAATGGTTTTTGCTCATCTTTTTCCTATTGCTTAAAAACTTTTATTGTTTTCTTTTTTCATCCTTTAATTTAATATTACTGTAGAAACCCTTTTCCATGGTCATCACATTCAGAATATTTTGGTTACTACACTTTCATTTTAGCTAAATTAACTAATCCCTTCTTTTGGGAAGTTTAGCCTGTCAAATTACCATAATTATAAATATTTTTGCTCACCTCATGGAGCTGTTTTAAGAGTTAAAAGAAAGAAGGTGAAAAAGTTCTAAAAACTGAATTAAGATAATGATTGTGGTGGTGGAAACTGGCTCAAAATAGGAACACTCCTAACAGCAGTGCGGTGTAGTAAATTACTTAGTGTGGCTTTTCTACCCATAAG